TACAATGCACACTTGTCAGATGGATAGCTGGATGGATGGGTGACAAGGAATACAGGATACACAGTGCATACTTGTCAGATGGGTAGCTGGATGGATGGGTGACAAGGAATACAGATTACACAGTGCATACTTGTCAGATGGATAGCTGGATGGATGGGTGACAAGGAATACAGGATACACAATGCACACTTGTCAGATGGATAGCTGGATGGATGGGTGACATGGAATACAGGATACACAGTGCACACTTGGCAGATGGATAGCTGGATGGATGGGTGACAAGGAATACAGGATATACAATGCACACTTGTCAGATGGATAGCTGGATGGATGGGTGACATGGAATACAGGATACACAGTGCACACTTGTCAGATGGATAGGGTGGATGGATGGGTGACATGGAATACAGGATACACCATGCACACTTGTCAGATGGGTAGCTGGATGGATGGGTGACATGTAATACAGGATATACAATGCACACTTGTCAGATGGATAGCTGGATGGATGGGTGACATGGAATACAGGAGACACAGTGCATACTTGTCAGATGGATAGCTGGATGGATGGAGAGGGGATGGATGAATGCACAGTGACCGAGGGTCTATGATTCTAAGACTTTGCTCTGGCTCTAGAAAGCAGGGGCATTTGTGTGTTCTGTGTAGTACTTACCACCTTATTAAATTTTGTGTAATTATGATCATATCCAACTTTATCCAAAAATTTAAAGATATGAAAATATTTTCACATACACTGCTCTTTGAAATAACTTTGATGTGTGTTTAAGCACCACAAAATCATTGCAATGCGTGCAGATGGGAACGTAAAGCAATCTGCATCAAAGAAACCTGCTGATGATGACTTGAATCGGAACTGAAGGAAGTGCTCTGGACTGTCTCCCCTGGTGGCAAGAATCTAGAGTCAAACACACTAGTTATAATTTATTCTCAGTGTCTCGCAGGCATGGAAAGCCATGACACGGTGGCAAAAAACAATCTAAATGAAGGATCCTGGTGAACAACACCCCAGCAGAAGGATCAGGCCATCAAGGAGAGAGGCGCCTTTCTCTGAAGGGAGGAAAGAACCTCCACTGTGATATGGCCTTGACTAAACAAATTCAGAGTTGGTGAACTCAAGGGGCTTCCATAGCCTAGACAGCTCATAGCAAGAGTCTCGGGTGATTGCTGATGTCATATATAAGAGTGCCAATTGTTAAATCAACAACGGGAGTCACTGGGTTCATGCTCCCCTCGCAGGATCTCTGTCCTTAACATGTTTATCTATGAAACTCAAAAACAACACTACTAGTCGAACAATACCCTATACCTGGTTCGGTTGTGTGAGTGCAACCTGTTGAAATCCCTGCTTAATATATACTAAATTGATCTTCGGTATATGAAGGTAACTGAAAATGAAACGCGATGAAGGGCGGGATGGGAGAGGAAGTGGGTGAGGGGAGGGCCACGGGAGGGAGGGAGGTCGGGGGGAAGCCACAACAATACAAAAGATGCATTTTATATTCTACTTAAAACTATTGGTTGAGCTCTGTAATTAATACACAATTACTCTTAGGTGTTTAATCAATGCTATAACTAGTACTCAAATAGTATTTTACACTTTATGTTTCTGTGTGGGAGCAAAATGTGGTAATCTTTACTTAACATACGCTAAATTGATCTTCTGTATATAAAGATAATTGAAAATTAATCGTGATGTGAAAGGGAAGGGGAGAGGGAGTGGGAGAGGGGAGCGTTGTGGATGGGAGGGAAGACACGGGGGGGGGGGAGGCTATTGTGGTCCATAAGCTGTACTTTGGAAATTTATGCTCATTAAATAAATAAAAAATAAATTAAAAAAAATAAAAAGAATAGAACCAAAAAAAAATTTATTCTCAGTGACACTCCGGGACTGAAACATGCTATGGCCTCCGATGTCCTTCATGATATTATCTACTAAACACTGCCATCCAGAGGTATCTTGCAGCCCCTGGGTTCAGGTGTTTCCTTACGGTACTTTGTAGGCAGAACCTGTACGTGCTGCCCATCTGATGGCTTCGTGTCACACAGGAGGACCTAAGAGAAATCTTACTAACAGTAAGTTAGGAAGTTGTATTACCCAATTGTTTAACACACAGATTCTAGAGCCATATTTCTTTGGTTCAAATCCTGACTTTACCACATCTAGCTATACAAGGAAAGTGAGTTGCTTAAGTTCTCTGTGCCTTAGTTTAATTTTCTCAAAATTACTTTAGGGGTTATAAGAGATAATATATGCGAAAATAATTATGTTGCATACATCAAAATGTTTTGTGATTATTACAATATCACTAAACTAGACGTTACAAGATATCAAGAACTCATAAAATAATATACTGAGACCCTTGCAAAAAATAAGGAAAGCCTCTAAGAAGGAGGTCCTGAACTCACCCACACAGTTGAATCCTTGCTCCAGCTCACATACCCTTGAGCACCCGTCTCCATTTAGAAGGTCTCCATCATCACACTCTTCCCCAAGGCTCCTAGGAGATAAAACAAATTGTGTGTGTGTGTGTGTGTGTGTGTGTAGTCGAAATGATTGTTCTTTTCCAGCTACCATCATTTAAATTCTTAAAACATATCATTATTTATTAAAAAGTATAAGTATAATCTGGAAAAAAGTAGGATCTAAGGGATTTTTTTTTACAGAAAAATGCAAGTATATGGACATGTAACGTGGATACCGGCTCAGCTATGAGTGTTGACTGGCATTTCCAGAGGGGAGTGGGAATTCCCAGAAGTCAAGTAGCTCAGGGCTCTGAAGTACTCAGGAGATATAAGGGGATCCCCACAGTTTCTGTTAGAATGTCTGAACCTTAGAAACAGCCCACAAGACTTATAACAAGTAGAGTCTTAGAAATAGCTACCTGGAGGGTGGATGTTTTTCAATTAAATCTCCACTTTGAATGACCACATTCCATATGCGAGTGCTAGTTCAAGTCCCAGCTCCACCTCTTCCAATCCACACCCTGGTAGGCAGCAGATCATTGCTCAAGTACTTGAAGTCTCTGTCACCCATGTGAGAGGCTTAGATTGAGTTCCAGGCTCCTGGCTTGGGCCTGGTTAAATACTGCCTGTTGCAGGCAGGCAAATTCATTCATTCTCTCTCTCTCTCTCTCCCCCTCCCTCCCTCCCTTTTACATAAAATGAAAATACGTAAATTTGAAAAGAGAGAAAAGCTGCATCTCTGGTCTGGTTTTCTCTTCAGTGTTGCCTGCTATCTCTGTATGTTTCCGTTGTTTTGTTCTATCTAGACAGGGTCTGAGATGTTGTGGGATTGAGTCTCCTGTTCATATACCAGGAGTCTTAGGTGGCCCCTTTAGGATCTTTTCTCCGTCCACGTTTCTAGGGCCCAGTCCCCGTTTTACTGCTTACCACTTCCCAGTGGCTCACAGTGTGTATTTCAAGAGAGAAACTAATGAGAGCAGTAAAGGTGTTCTTTTGTTTGGAAGTTTAAATGTTCATACACCTAATGACTAAATGTGACTTGAACTGGGGGAGCTGAGTCTATAGTGATGAGGAAGTAAAGCATGACATGAGAACAAAATAGGCAAACTTGAGTTGAAGTTCTTTGCCAGAACGCAAGGTTTGACCCTTGCCTCGATTCTTCACTGTGTTCAAAATGAATGTGTATTTTACCCTACAGATAAAGGACTTTATAATGCTGAGTGTTTTCCAATACAGGACATCACTAATATCTCTAACCATTGTTTACAGGGTTCCTCAGAGATGGATTAAAGATTAAATAATTAGATATGCAAATGCTCTAAAATGAAGTCAAAGTATATAGTAATTACAGTGATTCAATAGTTATATTTTAAATAACAAGCTGGAGGTGCCTAAAGGACATACGAGAGATTTAGAACAAAGAAACTGGAGGAATTAAGAATACTTCAAGTTCTTTTCCTACATAAAGGACATGTGATGCAGTGACAAGAGACTGTATTAGGTATCCCATCTGATGTGTGATGTCCAACCCTGCTCCAAATCAATTATGCCTCAATTTTTTCCTCTATGGAAGAGGATTGAAACATCAGTGTTTCTCTACCTGGGATGTAGATTGTAACTTGGAGGTTGGCAATTTTATATGTTCATTTTGAAGATAACCTAAATACTTAGAGGATAACCATATGCAGTGATACCCAACAGAAATACAATGAACCACGTATATAATTTCTATCTCCAGTAGCCATTAAAAAGGTAAAAAAAAGACACACATAAGATTAATTTCAACAATAGAGTCCATGGAACATATTCAAACCACCATTTCAATCTGAAATCAATGCAAAGTTATAATGAAGTATGTTACATTCTTATTTTTGTTTTGCAGACTAAACCTTTGAAATCTGGATTTTATTTTCCAGTTACAGTTACAACATAGCACAAATCAAGTATTTGTGTATTTAGGTTCAACTAACACAAATTGTTGTTGGGATGGGCATTTGGTCTCAAAATTAAGACACTTACTTGGGCACCCACATCCCATATTGAAGTGCTTTGATTCCTAGCTCCACTCCCGATTCCTGCTTCCTGCTAATGCACATCTCAGGAGATATTTGATGATGACTCAAGTAGCTGGGTCCTGCTACCCATGTGGGAGTCCTGAGCAGTTCCTGGCTCCCAGCTTGACTTTGATCCAGCCTTGGCTGTTGTGGATATTTGTGGACTGAACTAACAGATGGGAGATTTGTTCTCTGTGTCTCTCTGCCTCGTAAGTCAATCAAATACATACATAAATAAAAGTTTTAAAACTACTCAGGTTGCTCCAAATATACTGAAAGGTTTTCCAATGTTATAACTGAACTGATTTTAACTTTTAAACTAAAATACTTAAAAGAAATGAAATTAAACTTTCAGTTCCACATGCTACCTCTCATGGGCTACATTTCAGAGCCTCGGGAGCTCTGGGTGGCCAGTGGCTCCTGGGTTAGATGGCCCAGACACCACTGACCAGTTTGTGGATGATTACTGCTCACAGCTTCAGGGACATCCACTGTGTCCGTCTGGATGTTCCTAGTGACAAGTGATATCCCAGCGGGCTGGCTGATTTGTGTGGCTCCTTCCAGTTCCATGTATAATGGAGTGCCCAGAGCAGAAGCAAGCTTTCATTCAGCAGTGCTAAGTGCTCTGCACTGAGAGACAACACAGGGAGACATTCTGAAGAACATTTTGATGAGGAAATGCATGAGACCTGGTAGCCAAGCAGTGCTGCCTCAGGTGACATTCCCAGAAGGCAGAGGAGCAAATGCGCAAAACCCAGAGTAGTAAGAGGGTTCTTCACCAAACGGCAGGTGTGGCATCCTGGGGCTTAAGAGGTTCCGCGACACAGGGAAGAAGGTTTTGTTCAGTGAGGGCTCTGCCAGCATCATCATGGTAACCCAGCCCCCAGAGATCTTAACTGGCAGGCTGCAGACTTAAAATGAAGCGGCCAGAACAGGGAAAGCATCAGCAGTGACAGTCAGATTTGTTCTGTGGGCATGTGAACCACCCCAGGCAGAAATCTGATTTGAGATGGGGGAGGGGAGGTGGGTATAGATGCTGAGAGAGACAGGCGAGGGCAGCAAACTAGCAAGATGTGGGTACCATGAACATGACCCCAATCGTTTCCACACATTAAAGAGGCCTAATTGCTGCTCATACCTATTCATTTGAAAGGCAGAGTTATAGACAGACATGTAAGGACAGAGAAAGACCTTCCTTCCACTGGTTTACTCCCCAAATGGTCTCTGGAGCTCCATCAGGGTCTCCTACATGGGTGACAGAGGACCAAGACCTTGGGCCATCTTCCACTGCCTTCACAGGCTCACTAGCAGGGAGCTGGATTGGAAGGAGGGCAGGTGGACCCCACCCAGTGCCTATATGGGATGCCAGCATTGCAGGTGGTGGCTTAACCCCTGTACCACAACGCCTGCCCCTGAAATTCATACTTCCATGAAAAGAAACAGGTTTACCCTATAGCTTTAGTGATTGCTAAATGAAGGAATGGGATCCTAAGAAAGGCTTCTGAGTGGATTCCATATTGACTATAAGGTACAATGGGAATATATACTATATATTATATAGTATATATATATATATACACACTATATACTATATATATATACTATATATATATATGTACTATATATATATAGTATATAATATATACTATAAGGTACCTGGTCTGGGAAACTTAAAATAGCCCATCTTAATAGGATATAAATCTAAGGCAGACCCTAGTGCTTGGTCTTCTAGCCTCCTGTTCCCAGGAGTTTAATGCAAGCAATAAATTAGGTTTAGGAGAGCACTAATGGCACACTGATGCTGGGTGACCAGTTGCCTGGATTTCCTGGGCCTTGGAAACTTTTCAGTGTTAATATTGGGAACACTCCAGGCAGACTGGAATGGATTCAGGAAAAGGAACATGGTGTGTTAAGAAACCAAAGGCGTGGGGCCAACACTGTGGTGTAGTAGGTTAAGTCTCTGCCTGTGACACCAGCATGCCATATGGGTGCCGGTTTGTGTCCCGGGTGCTCCTCTTTTGATCTAGCTCTCTGCTTATTGCCCAAAAAAGCAGTGGAAGATGGCCCGTGCTTGGGCCCCTGCACTCATGTGGGAGACACGGAAGAAGCTCCTGGGTTCTGGCTTCAGACTGGCCCAGCTCCAGCTGTTGCAGCCATCTGGGGGTGAACCAGTGGATGGAAGACCTTTCTCTCTGTTTCCCCCTTTCTCTGTCTGTAGCTTTACTTCCCAAATAAATAAATAAAATCTTAAAAAAATAAACCAAAGGAGTGAGAATCTAAGACAAAGCTAATTCCTGCTTCCAGCTTCCTGCTGGGAACGTGGTATGTTACGACCAGGACAGGGTGTCCTGGCTCACACATCCCTCACCCCCCAGTACTCACTTCTCCACCTTCCCATTTCCGCAGTAAGGAGCTCCATGGATGTGGACCAGGGGAGGGGAAGCTTCTCCCAACTCTGCCCCTGCTTCAGCTTGAACTTGGTACTGGTACAGCTGCCCAGGTGTGACCTCCCTGTGGAAACCAAGGAGCTTGAGACCACAACATCCACAAAGAAAGACACATCCACATCCTTTGTAAGTGCTTTGGAGGAGTTCAGGGAACTCTTATGGGGAACATACATATTAAACCCACACCACACCTGACACCCAGATTGAGGCTTACAGAGCAATACAATGTTGGAAACCAAGTTTATTTCCATACTCACCCTGGCAGATGAGCAATAAATGCTTGCTGAACTAATGCTGACTTTAACAGCCCCAGAGAATCTAAGTGGACGGTACTTCACAAGTGTGTTTTCTCCAGAGCAAAACAAACCAGCTATTGAAAATTCAGTCTTTGGTAGCTTTAATCCAAGAAACCAGACAATAAAACGCTTCAGAGGTTGAGCCCTGCAAGGACTTTCTTGGGTCTGTGGATCTCAGTTTTCTTACTTCTCAAGATAATTCTTGTCTTAGGGAGAATAAATACTTAGGGGTAAGAGCAACTGTTATAGAAGAGATGAGAACATCTTCTGCTGTCAACTTGGGGATGCAAGAAATTCCAGAATTGGAAAAGCATTCAATTACTTCCCAATGCCTGTATTCCAGGAACGAAGTAGCAGCCGCTGACATCAGGATAAAAGGAGTGGCCCTCCCTAGAGCCCAGGTGCACTGATCTGGTGGACAACGTGAGAAGTGGCACATGTAGAAAGGAGAATGGGTTCAAGAAGAGGAACTGCTGGTTCCAAAGACAAATCTGCTCTTCATCTCTACTTTGTCCAGTGCCTGCTCTAATTGGAAAACTACTGCCGACGTCTAGCCAGTATGGGAGCTACTCTGAAGGACAGATTCTCAAAGGGTTGCGGGAGTTGCCATCAGCAATCGACCAAGGCCTCCCTTCCTCAACACACTCTTGCGCTGAGACACAAAGCCTCCACTCCCACCTGAGACAGCCACTGGCAAACGGGACATGGCTTGGGGTTTTAACAACACTTTTAAAGGCCATCCTAGTGGCTTGTAGGCACTTTCATGGGAAAGACACCTGAAAACTAAAGACGTTGACACTTCCAAGTTAATGTTCCCTTTCAGGGAGCAATCCTCTCATGAGAATGACAGGTATTTCTAAAGCAAAAGCAGTTTTACATCCTAATCAGTGTTGATGGTTTCTACTGTACTTCCTGTCCAGCCATGCACAAAGGGCTCACAGGGCTGACTAGGGATGGGACTGGATGCAAATGCCAAGATTCATCAACTCCCTGTGGGGAGACACTCAGCAGTAGGCAGCCCAAGCCTTCAATCATCTGATTTCATGAAAGGTAGCATGTGACTGAGGAAAGACGATGAAAATGAAATTTGGCTGGAAAATTGGATTTTATTTAAGATTCTTTGGGGGGGGAGGGAGTGAGGGCAGGGGAGAGAGAGAGGAGAGAGAGAGAGAGAGAGAGAGAGAAACTCTGTCTCATCTGCTGGTGAGTTCCCCTAATGCCCACAATGACCAGGACTCAGCTGGGCCAAAGTCAGGAGCTTGGAACACAATGCAGGTCTCCACAGGTGGCAGCAACCCAATCACTTACGCTCTCACTGCTTCTTCCCAAGGTCTGCATTGGCAGGAACCTGGAGTCAGAAGCTGGAGCCGGGACTCGAACCCAGGCACTCCAATGTGCGATGCCAGGCACCTTAAGGCAACCATTAGGCTGAATGCCCACCCTGGAAAATGGGACTTTAATTCTGAGTCTGCCATTTAGTGGCTATTCAAGCACATGAAAGCCAAGTCTGGATTCTCTCATGTAGAAAATGGAATTCTATTGGCCTTATTATTAAATATTTATGTATCAAGTTAGAAAACAAATGTCATAGTAACTGTCTTACTAGAGAAGCTCAAAACTGATATTTTTTCCCTTTTTAAGTTCACCCAGTGATCCATCCTCCATTTGCATGAGACTGTAGCTTTGTTTTACCACTTCACTGTATTCCAGAGCTAATGAAGAGAACAGGTATGGGAAGAGTATGTCAGGAACTCCGGGTGGATCACTCTGTCTAGTGTTGTTATGGCTGTGGCAGACTGTCAGAATCTCCTCGGCCCAGAGGCACCCTCAGCAAGGTGACTTGGCTGCCTCTCCCAGCCCAGGGTGAGCCTATTTAGCTTGATCCCCCTTGGATCTGGAATCCACTTTGTGCTGTGCTCTGGCTGGTGGAGCATGTTCATGAGGTCCATAAAGCAGAGATCTGAGGGGTGCAAACGCCTTGCGGCTTGCTCTCCCTGCTGCACTGCCATGAGAGGCAGCCCAGGCCAGGTCTTTGGAGACTGTGAGGAAAGAGGCCCTCATGCTCCCGGCCATGCCAGCTGTCTCAGCTGAGGCCTACAATATGTGCCTGAGGTCGTCCCAGGCCATTGAGTTCCAGCCAAGTCAGCCCAGACAAGAATACCCAGCCCACCCATAGAATCATGAGGAATGAGGTCTGCTGTTTTAACCCACTACGTTGTGGGATGGCTACCAGTGTAACAAAACAATAAAAATGAAAACTGCTACAGCATCTCTGATAAAACGTTTGTTTTACCCTATTTCTGTCCACAGAGTGGTATTTCAGGACAACTACATCTACAGAGACAGCAGCCTCCTACTGAGGACCTTGGGGTAAGCACCTTGCTTCCTCTGTGTTCCCCCAGCCCTGAAGCACCCAGTGCCAGGAACATAGCTGGAGTCACTCTATGTAGAAACAAAGAACAGAAGTAGGAGGAAGCAGAGTCGGAAGAGATGGGCAGAGGCGGAGGGCAGAGGAGACGAAGGGAGGGAAGGCAGGAGGGGAAGGGAGGGCCAGGGAAAGGAGGCAAGAATGGAACACACAACAGGAATGGGTCACAGGACCGAGCGTGCTGTCCGCAGGCCCTTGGCCTCTGTGCTTAGCTAAGGGAGAGTTGACTGTAATTTGCGAATGTTATAGGAGCCATGGCAGATTGTCCAAAAGCTACAGCAAGGGATCAGAACTCAAACTGTCACCTGACAGGAACCGAGAGTTCCCACCAGCTCAACTGTGACCATTACATTCAGTCCAATGGAAACCCCTCGAACACTGACCTCCATTCTTTCCCCATCATCATGATGACAGCAGCAGCCATCAGAGCACATCAAGCATCAAGCATCAAGCATCAGGCTTGGCCCTATCTGAGACATGTCCTGCCTGGCCTTAGATATGCTGCTTTAGAATAAAATCTTCTTTGAGACTCTAGCCATTTTTCCAACTAAGGACATTCCAGAACATTACAAGGTGGGGACAAAAGCAATCAGACCATCCCCAAAGCCCCAAGAAGCCCCCTGGTTTAGAAGTCGCCTGCTGCCCTACTCACATGTCTGTGAACTTCCTGCGAGGATGCGTCACCACCACGGACGAGCCACTGGTGAAGGGGGGCTCGCGGAGAACCCGGTATCTCACAGGCCTGCAGCCGGAGCACAGAGGACTCTGGGGCCGAGAAGTGAGGAGGGCTGCGTCGATCTCCATCCGCTCGTCAAATGTGTAGACCTTAACGCCGGAGACCTTCCCCTCCACATGCAGCTTGATGGTGAGCGGGGTGTCACAGAAAGTGTCCAAGGGGCCCAGGTGCACAGACCCCTGCTGTTCCAGCAATATCTCTGTGTCGAAGAGGGCCTGGGAGGAGCCCATAGACAGGTAAGTGACCCAGAGGGTCAGGGTGTCTGCGTGGACCGGGTGTTGGAAACGCAGCTCCAGGCTACAGCCCTCTGCAGGACAGGGCACCGTCATGTTCATGTGGTACAGGTGCAGCTCAGGACTCCAGGCTTGCAAGCTCGGCTCACAGGGCTGATCCACATCGGGAGGACCTGGGGGAGAGGTGGGCAGACGTGGAGGAGCTGCCATGAACAATCTGAAAAAGCGCAGCCCCTTCCAGTGTCCCAAACAAGGATAAAGAAGGAGAGGACCATGGCTTCCTACAGAAACTGCTCAGCTTAGTGGGTTAGATTTAAGTTCGACAAAGGACCAAGGTGTAAAAGTGCAAAGTGTTACGTTCCTTTTCACTCTGTCACTTCTGCAGGCTGCCCGTTAGCAGGGAATTGGGAATGGAGCCACCGGGGACAGAGGTCTTCTATCTGCTGGTTCACTCCCCCAAATGGCTGCAAGGACCAGGGCTGGGCCAAAGGCAGGAGCCAGGAATTTCTTCTGTGTCTCCCATGTGGGTACAGGAACACAGAAAGAGAGAGATCTTCTATCCCCTGGTTCACTCCCCAAATGCCCACAATAGCCAGGTCTGGGCCAGGCCAAAGTAAGATCCAGGAACTACATCCAGATTTCCCAAGGATCCAAGTACTTAGGCCATCCTCTGCTGCATCCCACGAGTACTAGCAGGAAGCTGGATTGGAAGTGCAGAGTAACCAGGACTTAAATCAAGCACTCCAATAAAACCTTTTTATTATTATGAGCTCATGCTGAAACAAGAAGCAGAACAGGAGCATTAGCAGGAAGCTGGACTGGGACTGCAGGGTAACCAGGACTTAAATCAGGCACTCGTGCTAAAACACGAAGCAGAATCCTTAAAAGTGGACTTGGTTTGCCTCAAGACACAATGCAAAAATCAGAACCCAGAATTTCCAATTACCTTCACCTCTGTGAAATAACTTTGAACTGTTCCAAGTATTAAAAATAAGAAAAAGTACTGGGTCAGAGAGTTAAACAGGTGTTATACTACCAGCACAGGACAAACTGTTAGCCACAGACAGGACTTTTTATGAAATGCCATTCTCTGAGTCCAATGTTGTAAATTTTATATTCACTTTCCATTCTTCCCTGAAAACTCTCATTTGGAGCAAGTCGTATACAATCAATCAAGTAAATGGTCTTCCTCCAGGTTTCTCCTTGGGATCTGTCACTTGAGTGACCAGGAACCCAGTGACGGACTTCTCCAACTCTCTGGCCTCTTACAGGTGCCATAGATCTAAGGATCATTGTCCTCCTTTTTTTTGTCCTAGCCAAAACTTCAAATGAACTCAAGCAGGACTGGGCCAATCCATCTTACCAAGTAGTTTTCAGGATCTTAATAAATATAAGGAAAAATACAGAGATGATGATTGGTGATATGGTGATGACTGGGTAAACAGTGATGATGGAAAAAGTCAAGCCATCCATCAGGGGATGCTAAACATCATGTCAACAGCATTTCTGGACTGGAGCTAGGAAAAAACCTCATGCTGTAATTTGTCTCAGGGGCACTGATGTGCATATGTGAGTGAGTATGTGACTGTTTGAAGAGTTGAGGGAGGGACAGGAAAGAGATAACGAAAAACATCTTCCCCATCCGAGAGCCTAGCTTAGGTCATATCCAGAGCACAACCAGTCCCACTGATTAATAGACTCATAAAACAGCACAGATGAGAACGAGCAGTGTGGAACACCTAGTCCACCCTACCCTCACCCAGTCTTGCTCAGCCAGTGTGTGAGTGTTCCCTGCAGCATGTTCTCTGTTACTATCTTGATACAGAGGAACAAGAGGTTAGCTTGCACTGCCATGTGGCAGGGCTGCTCCAGGGCCAGCTGACACAAGTAACACCACAGGCCGCAGCTATCTCACCCTAAAGTCACCAGCTGAGTCGGCCAACTTCTCTATCATTCAGTCCCATATGCTGGCCATGACCTCACCACAGCCCATGGACTTGCCCAAAACTACTTGGTAAGATGGACATAAGGGACATAACGGACATTCTGCACATAGAGGCAACAGGCAGTCTTCCCAAGGCTGTGGAGGGGTCCAGCAAACCACATACAGACACGCACATACACACACACGTACACACACACATACACACACACACACCCCACCTTTTTTTCATCATGCCACTGTTCCACACTTTCCCTCTCTCCCCATTCCTCCAGGGAACAGATCTGAAATCCATGATACTTTACCCACAGCCTCATCCGGGGTCCAGTAACCCGAGGAGTCACACACCCGCCGGGAGGAAGCCGTGTGCACATACTGACGGAAAGTCCCATCTTCGCTGCAGGAGCCACACACACTGCCTGGAGTCCTGGGGAGACAAAGGGACGGAGGTGGGGAGAGTCCACCAGAGCAGCTGGATGAGAAAATCAGGAAGGTCTTTGAGAAGGGCAGGGTGACAGTTAGTGAGGCCCTAGAGGGCGACTCGGAACACAACTACTTCAATATATTTTCTTACGTAGACCTCATTTTTGCAAATATTCTTTGTGATACAAAAATCCCAAGGTCACAAAGCAGAAACATTTAACTAGGTCAGAAAGGAGGCCTATAGAGACGCAACTGGCCAGTCTGTCCTAGGAACAGGAAACACTAATTACAGTCTGCGTCCTTCAGCACAAAAATCCTCTCCACCCTGACCCTCAAGAAATCATCCAAAGACCCCTTGCACCGCCCATACCAAACTTGTCCAAAATTCTCAGATATTTACTGAGTGTATGTGTTCTTAGGTCTGAAGATGCTTACTTTTAACCACCTACACAATATTGAAGTCATACGAAACATGAAGTCCCTGGGCTTTCTGTTGCCTAGGGGCTACTCTGAATGCCCTACCAGGTTCCTAGGTTCTTCCTGAAATAGCTCCCACTCACTGTATTTCCATGACAAGGAACATATTGCCATTCCACAAAGCCATCACACCCTCAGCGCAGCTCTGGGCTCATGCTGTTTTTTCTGCTGCCAAACTGCCTCTCTGAGCTTCTCTCTTTAGTGAACCTTCTACTCACCCTTCAAGACCCAGTCAAATGGAACCTCTGCAGAGGCACGTGGCCTCCTCCTCTGCTTGGCCGGCACTCCCTTCTCTGTGCACCCACGGAAGCGCATGGCTCCTAGCTCAGGACACTGCTCTGTGGTGCCGAGAATTTCCGCTCGCGCGCTCTCCTCGCCACTGATGTGACTAGGTCCAGACCAGTCTCTGCTCTCCTTCTAACCTCAGCAGTCGCACTGTGAACGCTGGTTTGGGGGATGGCCTTGAGCCGATTAGGAGTCTGTGAAGAGCTCGACCAGCACCTTTTTGGAGTAACCAGGAGAGGTAGGGATAATAGCCAAACAGCAAGGAGGATTATTTCTGATTCTTAGAATCTTTTTAGATGTCAAATGGTGAAGGACACACATGAAAATAAAAGTCTCAGTTTGGAGCCTCCAAAAAAGTAGAGAGAGAAGAGCAATAGCAAATGCTAAAAAAAAAAAAAAAAAAAAAAAAAAAAAAAAAACACCAACCCAGATTGTTAAATAAGGGTAACAGTTAGGATAGCAGCTCCCACTTGTTAAGCACTTCGCATGCTTGGCGTGGTGCCACTACGTGCTCTTCATAAATTATTTCTGATCACCGTAATAACCCTGTGTTTACCAATGAGGAGAGTCAGACTCAGAGAGGTTCAGGAAACTGCCACAGGTTACAAGCTCCTTCATTCTTAGAGCAAGCTCCCAAACGCCATTTAGTATCTAGCACTCTGGCAACTCAAAGGTGTAGCCGAGATCCAACCTCGCTGACTCCACTCAGCACTCACGTCTAACGTGGACACAGCTCCAAACCACATTTCCCTGATGCACTTGGCCCTTCCTGGGCCGCTGTGGAGTGCGTAGCTGGGGCTCCTCTCTGACATAAGGATTCCAAATACCAACTGGGGTGGAGTAAACACAACTCCAAGCATGACACAAATCGCTGGGTATGTGACGTGAGTCCCCCAGACACACGTGTTGGGAGGCCTCGAAACTGTAGCCCACCTCGCTGAGCAGAGGAAGCAAACTGTAGCCTTTTCTGCCAGCAGGCTCTCAGCAGGCCAGCACTGATGTCTGCTTTATCGTAACGTTTGTACCAGAGAGAGAATGGAAAGATTAAATTGTTTACATGTGTTACATAAACTGATGTAAAACTCCGGTCTGCACATACCCACAGAGGACTTACTGTTCAGCCAGTCCGACCGAAGCTGCACGGGGTCACACTCGCAGGAAGATGGTTCTTACACACACCACATAGATGTGTGTTGACTCACAAATGGAGCCTGTGTGAGCCCCAGAGTGATGATAGGGAAGACTACCTTGCAGCATTGTGGGGATGTTACACATGACATGCGTAAGGACAGGTACTAAGATCTTAGGAGGTGGGACAGCACCATGAAGAAGGATTCACTGACCTAATCCCACCCTTGACTCTCCCTGTCCTCTCTTTTTAGGCAAAATTGGGGGGAAGACATAAAGCCTGCTCCAGGGTCATTCAGATGCTTAACTGGAGCCTGGCCCTGAGATGGGAGTGACACAGAGAAGAGGGGCTATCTACCTAAATTTCTACCTTAAATTCAAAGAAATTTCTATTCTGTGTTCATCGTGTCTGAATCCCAGTGGACTCCCCAATTCATCTCTGTTGAGTTGTGAGGTCTTGGACCAGGCTCCCTATGTTTCTGAATGCCTCAAGTCTCTCACTCATCTAGTAGGAATTATGCTAACTATAAGAGCTGCACAAGACAAGGGCTGACAAAATGCCTAGCACAACATTCCCATGAAGTAGGACCCAGCGGGTGCTGGCTGTCACAACATGTTGGCAGGTGTTGACAGAGGCTTGGGCACAGGTAACCCATGGGGTTCTGCTCCTCCCAGTTAAGCCACATTTGTCTTCCTCCTGCCCATCAACTGTCAGATGTCATTCTCCGTCCTACCTTTGTCTGTTTTTACAAGCATTTCCCTGGCATTCATCTATACCAATATGGACAGGAAGAATGACAGCTGGTTTTAATTATCATGCTTCTCTTCAATAACCATGTATTAGGTGTCTTTTGTGACAGGCCAGGAGGCAAAGATACAAAAAACAAGCCTGCCTTACCTCCAGCAGTTGCCAATTGAGAGGGGCAGATAGGAAAATGATCAGACCATGACAAATCCATCACAGGCCAAAAGAGGGGGCTTCCTAGGGTGCAACAGCAGGCAGAATGTACGAGAAAAGCCCTCATGCGTCAGATAAGCCCCTGCTGCACAGCTTGCGGCAGCACCTCACCCCAGAACTTGCCTTCCTGCTACCCTCCAACAAGTGTGCAAGCAGTGAGTCACTGTTGCACCGTCACGCCACAGAGCAGCGGCTGCCTGGGACAGGTGACAAAAGCCCTCTCAGTTCAGCCCATTCAACCCCATCACATTGGTCAACCTCTTCAGGCTGCTCATGGAACAGGAAGCACACGTGACGCACCACTGGATTCGCACGCAAGCCCCACGAGCTCTGTTGCACAGAGCAGACTGGAGGAGGCAGCCCTGAGCAGTGCTGCACATGCGCAGGCCTCCAGGTAGGGTCCCCCTTGCTTCGCACTCTTCTCTTTGCTCATACAAAATGCCACAGGGAGAACACACCAGCTTACCTGTCATATACATCCCCACTAATAGGAGGCAGCCAATGGATAGTGAGGGACTTGTGGGTCTGTCCGATGACCATGGGCGGGATGGGAATAGGGGTGGGCTTTCTGCTTTGACTCCACTGCTGATATACAAGGTCCAAATAGCAATGCATTCGGGCCACTTGGTTAGGGGTGAAGCTGTCAGTGCAGTCATCATCTGCAAAGACACAAAAGGGAGCACAGCAGATAGAAATTTTTAACGTGTGAAGTAAATCCCCACAGGGAGACATCCCGCCACGTTCACGGCTGAGTGTCCAGCACCCAACCTAACACCTTGGACTCAATAGGATCAGTAGACAATTTTTGAAAGAATAAAGGCATTTTCTCCAGAAAGCAGGTAAGCCAAAAGTGGGGCAGGAAAGGCAAAGGCACAGCGTTTTGTTATCTCTAAGGCCAGGCTGGCCCAGGCTGAGACTCAGGCCCTGGGGTGCAGGGCTACTCTCAGCGGATGGCTGCTTGTTCAACAAACCACAAGATGGCAGTGTTTTAGCAGATGACTTTTTCACTCGCGAACATTGAGTAGCAGACACCTGCTTTCTTGCCAAGGTTAATGAGTATTTAGTGGAGGTGCTTGAAGGGAGAAAGTCAAAACATGGAGGAGGCAGTGGGTCTGGGCATGGTGGTCCCAGCTTGACTTTTGGAGCAGGCAAAGTCTCCCTATTAGGTAACATTTTTCATAGGGCTGGAAAGGGAGTTCTCTCTCTTTCAGGGACTTTTCCATTGAGAACATACCAGGCAAATACTGTCTCGAACTGCTTCTTAAATATTTCTTCCACAAACCTCAAAGGTGGCACCTGAACAGCTCTGGCCTCTGTTCCCTGTTATCTGCTTTCTCTGCATCCAGTAAAAGCCACTGTATCCTTATTGTGGGAGGCAGAAGTGCTGGTGATTATGAATTTTATGCACCACAAAGATAAATGGATGGAAGTATCCTGATAGGTAACACATGGGACCAGCTCACCACTCTGTCTTCTCTTAAAAGCCATCACCAGGGACCAGAGGTGAATCCTCTAGAACCCATCATTAAATAAGCCTTCTGGAACTCAAAGGAAAATTCCCTTCCCTACCATTAGAGTAGATTTTCAAACCAAATCAGTTCTGAATTTTTGGGATAAATCTGAATCCATGATTAGGAGACTGGTTAGCACTGTTTTCCGCCAGTAACACGGAATGTGAGAGACAGGAAAGAAAGATAACCTAGGAGCTAAATCTAGGAAGAGCAAGACTAATCAGTACAGGGCCAAGAACACACTGGTTTTTAAAATGAGATGGCCCCTTTTTGGGTGGTGATGGGGTGCAAGGTAAGAATCAGTATTTGGCTAGAGATAGATGAGGAAAATTTGAAATATACTTTAAGTAACACAAACAAGAATTCTGAGCTTAAGTTAACCAAGCCACCTTGTTGACTGTTAATGGTAATTCAAAGATCCTGAAATCTTTCCCCCATCACTACTGTACTCTCCTGCAGAGTACATGCCTACAAATAGCCATATTCCAGAAGTTGGAGGAGTCTCAGCTTTGGCTTTGCTCCTTTTACTATTCAAGATACAAGTATGTTTTTCCTTTAATCTTTGGTAGAAGAGAATCCAGTCACTAGACCCCTTCATGTCTCAGTATTTCTCTAAGATTTTTAAAGTCATGACAAAGAATACCCCGTAATGAATGCACTCAGACATAAATGACCCTATGGAAATCCTCTCTACCCTCATGGCCCCCAGAGAGCCCCAGGGCAACCTCAGAAGAAAACAAATGCATCAAGACCACCGTGATACCTGTGTAGCTCATGTAGTTGCGGAATGGAGCCCCTGGAAAGTGTGTGAAGCCACAGGTGTCATTGGTGGGCTCTGGGTCCCGGCACAGCTTACTCTTGGGAGTGGGAGCCGTGTCGGCGCACAAGTCTCCTGTTTCCATGGATGGCACCATCTCCCTGCAGGGGTCGTCACAAGATTCCCTCTCGCTGACCCCCTTGAACACGTGGTAGAGTCCCAGGACATGACCCACCTCATGGATCATGATGTTGGTGTGGCCAGGCATGCCGTAATAGGATGGGTTGAGGACCACACCACCTGCAATGGAAGTGTTGAGAAACAATTGCTGAGCATAGAATGAATAGCAGCCCTCCAATCCTTAATTGTGACCTCTGATAACATCAGGTATTCCACTTTAGTCTCTAAGATGACACCTGTAATGTCAGCAGCATCCAATCATTGCTCTTCTCTCTTGTCACAAGCCACCCTGAAGTAATCCATAAACATTCCTTCAACCTGTATTGTGAGTTAATGCCATACATGAGCCAGGGATAACAATACCAACAAACTATCACAAGAGAGAACCAGGATTCTCAGCCATGTATGCACACTCAATCACCTGGGTGGGGTGGAGACATTGTGGCACAGCTATTTAAGCTGTTCCTTGGGACAACTGCATCCCATATCAGGGTGACTAGATCAAGTCCCAGCTACTCTCCTTCTGATTCAGCTTCCTGCTAATGCCCTGGGAGGCAGAAGATGATGCTCCAAGGACTCGGGCCCCTGGTGCCCACATGGGAGACCCAGATGGAGTTCCAGGTTTTTGGCTTTAGCCCATCCCGATTATTGTGGGCATCTGGGGAGTGAACCTGCAGATGGAAGATCTCTCTCTTTCTCTCTCTTCCTGACTTTCAAATTATTTTAAAAAATACAGAAATTATTTTAAAAATAAAGCAATCACTTGGGGTAGTTGAAAAATGCAGAATCCCAGGGGCCGGCACCGTGGCGAGGCGGTTTAAAGCCCTGGCCTGAAGCTCTGACATTCCATGGTTCTCTTCGGATCCAGCTCTCTGCTATGGCCTGGGAAAGCAGTAGAAGATGGCTTAAGTGTCACCCACTTGGGAGACCCAGAAGAAGCTCCTGGCTTCTGGCTTTGGATTAGTGCAGCTCTGGATGTTGTGGCCATGTGGGGAGTGAACCAGTGGATGGAAGACCTCTCTGTCTCTACCTCTCTATAACTCTGTCTTTCAAATAAATAAAATGAGTCTTTAAAAAAATGCAGAATCCCAACCACAAAAGAACCAAATCCAAATATTTGAATATGGAATTCATGCATCACCATTGTTTTTAGAACTTTCCAGTAGGAGAACCATTGGTGAAAGTAGCTGAGGTTTTGAGCCAGGGAACTCGGATTCTGAAACCAGACCCCTCCACATGTCAGCCCTGAGGACCTGTTCAACTCTCTGACCTCTCAGAACTCAGTTTGTTGTCTATAAAGTAAGGATGATAACAAGAGTGTCTTGTATTTTAAGTATTTATCAATCCCTATACTCAAGGAGCTAATATCCAGTGAGACAAAAGACAAGTCCAGCTGGACTACCATGAAGCTCAGAATGTCACAGGTGCTTAGGAATATGGTCACTCCCGTGGCTCCCAGATGTCCACAGGAGCACCAAGGGAGAGAAGAGACCCTTATGAGAACAGTCTCTGTCCCCTTCCAATTGTCTTGTCAAGTACTTCCAACTTCTTGCCCTTCTTCCTCCATCACACTTTCTCCCTCCACATATACTTAAACCCTGCCCTTCTCTTTTTTCCCCACTTCTAATGCAGCTTTGCATGAAGAACAAAAGCAGGGGCCTATGTTGTGTACAGCCAGTTAAGTTGCCACCTGCAATGCAGACATCCCATATCTGGTTCAAGTCCCGGCTGCTTCACTTTCAATCCAGCTCCCTGCTAGTGCACTTGGGAAGTGCTTGGGCCTCTGCCACCCATGAGGGAGACCAGGATGAAGTTCTAGGCCCCTGGCTTTGGCTTGGCCAAGCCCTGGCATTGCAGCCAAATGGGTAATGAACCAGTGGATAGAAGATCTCTCTCTCTCTCTCTCTCTCTCTCTCTCTCTCTGTAGCTCTGCCTTTCAAATAAACAAATACTTTTAAAAAAAAGCAAATTTTTAAGAAACAGGACTTAAAAGCTACAATGCACCTTTAAGATTTAAATATCCACATGATTAATATTTCCCAAATTGTGTTAATAAATTCTGGTCCTGAGTGATACTTTGAAAAATTGTTATCAGTGGTTAAATGTTTGAGAAAAATGAAGCTTGCCATACTCTCCTCCTGGACATCACAGTGTCTCTGAGAACTGTTATACTAAGGGCTCTGAAAGGTACTAAAGCAACTGTGTTTAACCCTTTGCTCACCAAACTCTTTTGAACCCAGACCCCACTTGGGATAAAATTCATTTTGACATCATTAGAATATTGGGTTTCTTGCAGCACAATTCAAGAAACATTACCACCTATGAAGAAAACTCCCAACTAATCCTTATTTTTCATCCAGACCTCTTCCTCTGAGAAAAGATCCCCTCATCCTGCAGCCAGCTCAGTCCAAGTCCTTTTGTGTTCTCCTCCAGTGACAGAGAGGGGATGAGAGGTGAACAGAGAGAAGGGCCTAAAAATAAGGAATGGCCAAAGCAGCATGTGGCAGGGGGAAAGGGCCACTGAAAGTGTGACCCTAGGGACAAAGAGGAGAATGCAGTGCTGACCATTCTAACAGAGGGCTTTGCATCAACTTCTAGAAGTTTCTGTCTCAGTTCCCAATGAGATATTTCCAAATCTAAGAATGTTCTGCAATGGATTTATAGCCAGCTTTCAACAAACCAGCTTATTTATAAGTAGAGGAAGACACATAAAAACGTAAGCCCTCTACGCCCCAGCAAATCCCCCACTAAACCCAGGACAACTGGCTGGAGTTTTCTTATGTTACATTTATAATGCACACTCCCCAAAACAGAACAATATGAATTTAACCAGATAGCACTTAAATGTTCATTTAAAAACATAAACATGTTAACACACATTTATAAGAGTTACCTTTTTGACCCCAGAGAGATGGGACTTGTGCTAAAAAATTGCCTGTATGGAACATATAGTAAATGGGCTTAGTAACTGTGTATGTATTAAATAGAATACTTTATAAAATTTAGAAACCCAGAACACAAAGAATGAAATATTGCTCTACTTCAGGGATAGGTGCTGTACACACCTACATGTGTACACACCAGTATATGATGGGAGAAACGTTCAACACCCTAGACCTCTCACAGTAGTTCTATGCTCCAGATCACAAGGTTCTGGAATTACCTGGCCTAAAATTAAAGCAAGGGGTAGTGTGGCAGTGCCCCTGACTAGCCCCCCTGCCTTGACCTGGCTGTTTAAACACTCCTAGGCCTCCTCCACTGTAGAACAGGTTTTGCCTGGCTTATCTCTGTGACTTCTTCCTAGCCTCATGCTATGTGTCTGAGGATTTGGTGAGACATTCACAAATACCATGCCAAGATACTTGTGAGAACATGAACTGTCTCCTTGACCCTGTTGTTTGTGCTCCGAGTCTCATCATTCAGGGAAGGGGGATAGCTGGGGATGAGCTGCCATAGAGTTCTATTCTGAGATCTGCTACAGATCTCCAAGTGGCCAGGATTCCTGCTTGTTAGTCCTCAGCCCCTCCTACTACTTTACACTCCCCATCCTCTCTTCTACATGCACTCTATTCTTCTCACTCTTGATCCAACTAAAACCAATGTATGGAATTATTAGGGAGTAGATTTCAATCATTTGTCAGATAAGCACACATACTCTATACTCATATGGGTGATAGCAAAGACATTAATCTATTTTGTGATTTTGTTTAGGAAAATTCATGTTTCAGTAAAAACTTCACACACATACACACACATGTACTCATGCCAAAGCCCAAGTGAAGCATAAAGACACATTGCCCAAAGTCTAAAAACAGAAGGTGAGAACATCTTTTCATTGAGAGGAAAGGAGACATAATACATAATGAATAAAAATGGCATCCCCAGTATGACAGCCCCTCCTTGCCCTCTCCAACATTTGGGTCCGCCCAAGCTGGATCTGAGGATCTGGTCATTGCCACCCTTCCAGGGAAACGCAAAATCCCTTCCCTAGAGCACCACTGTAGGAAAAATGAAATGGTGCTATTTGTCTGGACCGTTTCATATTAACAACCAAACAGAGCAGCACAATCTTCCGAAGCTACGCCTACACCTCACACTCCCTCCACTAATGTGCTCAGAACCATGGGTCGAATTCCCAGTGGTTACAAATGGTGTACACTGCTGGGCAGGAGTCTGTCTTGCAAACACAGCCTTTGGAGGGACCAGGTCTCCTTTGGCTCTAGGGGCTCACTGGGAATGCATTGAGACTAGCCTTAAAAGCTCTCAAGGCCATTTCCTGATCCGTTCAATGGTGATAACTTGAGTTCCTACTTCAAACGGTGGTTATGAAGACCAAAGCTGTAATGCAGATAAATAAGCATGTGGCTTATTTCCTAGCACAAAGTGACTGAAGACACATATTAGAGCCCATATCCATGTTACTATAATTCCATAATAGTCTGTGGGGACATGCTCATCACCCCAATTTCTATTGGCTCCCACCCAACCATGTCATTCATCAAGACAATACAATCTGGGGCTTGACCACAATAAGGCAGACCTTCTGAAGCGAAACCAGACATTGCCAGGCCAGGTAGGCAGAAACCCACCCTCACACAAAGAACGCTGCTCATACTTTGCTTCCACATTTTTCTGAAACCCACAGGTACCAGAAAGCAGACAAGACTCTGTCAGGGTTACAAACAGTCAAGTGCCCATTTTCTTCAAAGACAACCTGGTCTTCATCAAGTATTCCAAGCAGCCTGAAATTAGGGACTGTGAAAAGATGGGGAATTCAGCCTTTTAGTGTCATTCTTCATAGACCTGACTTATAAGTTAGACTTATACAAGGTACCTTTGTCCTAGAGTGCTCAAAATCTTTTCCTTTCCATATGAAAGCAAGCTACCCAATAGCAGTTAGGTGTTAATGCCCAGTTCTTGATTGGCATGAAGCATGCTTATGGGTGCTTTTTATTTAGTGTTTTCTGTGTGCTAGCCCTGTTGCAGGGTTTTATGATTCCCATTTTATAGATGAGGAAGATGAATCCTAGAAATGAGATGTGATTTGCTTAAGGCTACATGGTTAGTAAGTTGAGTTAAAATATAATTCCATGTTTTTTTTTTCTTTTTAAACAGATGTA